TACATCAAATGATGTTTTTATTCACCTGTACAAGAATAAACATATCCTCTGTGTCATTTTTTTTAAGCATTAAAGGGAAGTATAGACAATTTCGTAGTCATGGCTGGATATTATAATGTACATGTTTTTTGCTTCCTCAGCAATTGACAGAACTGACAGACAACAAAGCAGTAAAGACACATGTATTCTGAACACTATATGTGGGAGCCCAACAGCGACCACAAGAAAGTGTGGTTAGGGACGCGGGGATGTGCCTGCACACGGGGCTCCCTGCCTGGGCAGATCATGCCTGCAAACAGGATGCTCTGCCAGGAGGCCTGCACACAATATCCAAGTTTAATGGTCTGCTCGCAAACGAGGGAACTTGCCCTCCTTAGAAGTAAGGAGTAGGCTGGATTTGTGTGCAGGCCTCTTAGTAAACATGTTGTGGTCGCTTCCTCCCTTTGCTCCTCCCTGTCCTTGTAATGTGTTTGGCTACTTGCCCTTATTTGGTAAAGGAATGCATCTTGTAGATTTCAGTTTGTATCCAGTTACCGGGTATAAAATAAACCGCAAGAGGGGCTGGCGTAGAATTGTTCCTCCGGCCGGAGTTGTGTCTGTGTCTGTCCTTTGTGTGTGTCCTGTCTTTGTGTCATTTCGTCCGCAACACTATAAGCCACCTCGACTTAAGTGATACTGATGCCACAGGCCACCTTTGTCAGAAAACTGTCCCAAGAACATAGCCGCAGCTTGTTTTCACCACAGCAAGTCCCAGCAAGTGGTCTCTGGACACAGGAAGGGCTTCTGCCTTACTGAGCCTTCAAACCTGCACAACGGCCACTTCTTTCCCACAACATTTGTCTGAAGACATGGCAGACCCCAGTGGGCACATTCTCTGGTGCCTGGGGACCATCTAGAACTTTCACGAAGATGCCTGGATGAAGTCCCTAAGAAATCATCTGACTAAAACTTTGTAAAAAAACTCAACATCTTGTGTTATCTTCGGTAAGCACGTGTTTGCAGTCATAGAATAATGAAATTCCTCATTGTACTCTTCTAGGATTGTCCTTACTGGGGCTCCTTACAAAATACTTTTTTAAGAAGCCTGCCATCCTCTCCTAACATAGGGCCTAGTTTGTATGGCAGTAACATGAGGTAAAGCACTAAACGTTATGACAGAGGGGCGTATGACTGGGTGGCTCAGTCAGATAAGTGTCCAACTCTTGGTTTCGGTTCAGGTCATGATCTCTCAGTTCATGGATTTGAGCCCTTCATTGGGCTCTGTGCTCACAGAGGGGAAACTGCTTGGGATTTTTTCTTTCTCCTCTCTGCACCTCTCCTGCTCGCTCACTGTCTCTCTCAAAGTAAATATAAACATTTTTAAACAATTATGGCAGAAAAAAATATGGTAGAAAATTATGATAGAGATAGATGTTTGCTTCTCAGAGAGCCAATCAATCCTGGAGTTTTACAAATTATCAATTACACAAAGCAAAATAAAAATTTTATTTTTCTTCAGAATCATAAAGAAGAAAATGTGGGCATTTTTAACAAGAAATCAGGAAATTACTTATTAAAATTAAAAAGTAAAGGGTTTTAATTTAAATTTTCCTATCAATTGCAACTGTGGTATTTAATTTCATACAGGATGGATGTGAATCCCTATGTCTTTGTGGAGTTTTTTGACTCCTGCTTCTCAAGTTGATAAATATTATTTTTAATAAGCTTCATAATGATGACTGATTTTCTCATATTATGGATTCATCCTTTGAGTGACAGCTTAAAAAAACTGATCCCCTAATCCAGTAAACACTTCAGTGAAAAGAAGTTTAAATTTGTTTATCTTGTTTTTGTTTTACAGCACTTCTTTTTTTTTTTTTAATATTTTTATTTATTTTTAGGAGGGAGAGACAGCGTGAGCAGGGGAGGGTCAGAGAGAGAGGGAGTCACAGACTGAAACAGGCTCCAGGCTCTGAGCTGGCAGTCAGCACAGAGCCCGACGCGGGGCTCGAACCCACGAACCGCGAGATCATGACCTAAGCGAAAGTCGGACGCTTAACCGACTAAGCCACCCAGGCGCCCCTGTTTTACAGCACTTCTAAAGAGAGTAAAAAGTTCAGAAATCCAGCAGAGGAATTGCTTTGGTGCCACAGGAGACACAGAGTAAGTCATTTGTTGTGAAAAGTCCTGGGCGTGTCTACAGGGGGTATGTCCAGAATGAAAGGGGGATCCTATGTCATGAAAAATTCATAGAATTTATTTTATAATAGGCATTTGACCCTCATTCCACATTCACGTTTGTTCTGCTATAACCTCTATAAACTATTTTAGCTGATGTTCAACCTTTCCTAGCAAAATAAACCTTTTTCTTTTTGATTCTGTCTTAAGTACACTCCAAATAAACAATGTCAAGGCAAATATTCTGTAAACTACAGATTATGCAAAATAAGTGCCTATTTCTCCAAAATAAAGTGCCTAAGGTACTAAGCTACCATTGATATTTTCTGATATACAGAAGAAAAAGGAGCATCGAACACCAGTCCTGAGAAGCTATGTCATCACAAGAGTAGACTTCTAGGTGTTCCCTCACTCAGTCTCTAGTGCCTTGAGAAATGGGGTATATGTTGCACCAAAGGCAAAAGTGATGATCATTTAAAGCGTTTTTTTTTTTACCTGCCCATTACAATACATTTATTAAAAGTAATTACCACTTTCGATGTAAACTTCAGTGTTATATAAGCATAGTCTTCCCACTGGCGTTCACAGAGGTGGCCCTCCAACTATCCAGCAGGTCTACAGCTTGTAAACACGTGTGATTGCGCTCATATTTACAAAAGCTTTTTTAAAAAATACTTTAACTAGTTTTAATAATTGACTAACCATGGGAAATGAGTAACAAATAAGGAATAATGAAATGGAAGAGCACTGTAAGGGAGAGAGTAATTTTAATGAGGAGGGGAGAAATAGCTTTCTTAGGTCTATCTGAAGAGGTTTAAAATCTGACCTATTGTTACCATCCAAACAGCCTCTAGACCATGGCAGAATTCATGGTAATAGCCTTCAGTTTATAATTTACATATAGGGGAAATTAAAAAAAAAAGGTTTTGTTACCTAAAAGTTGAGCATGATTTTTGATACATGTAGAAATTCCTCAATGGCTTTTTTTCTCTCTTATCATAGAGTTTATACTAAATTAGGAAAAAAGTATAAAACATTTGACAGCAGATGTGGACTCAGTCTGCTGTGATAGATCCACTTGTAATCGCAAGGAACAGACAATAGTGCATCAAATAAAGCAAAGGAACAGGGGTGCCTGGGTGGCTCAACTGGTTAAGCATCCAACTCCTGACTTTGGCTCAGGTCATGGTGTCACTGTTTGCGAGTTCGAGCTCCACATCAGGCTCTGCACTGACAGACCCCTCCCCTATTCATGCTTTCTTTCTCTATCAAAATAAATAAATAAAACCTTTAAAAAAGTTTTTTAAATACAGTGAAGGAATTATTTCTGGAAGTAATTAATCAGCTACAATGAATAATTGTCCCAAGCTATTACTCATTGCTTACTATCTGCAAGGCATTTTAATAACAACTTGATATTTGGAATGATGCCAAGGATTAAAAAGTAACAGTCTTACAATCAAGGAACTGACAGTCTAATAGGAGATGATAAATATAATAATATTAACCTGAAAAACTGTATTTCAGTGTATAAAAATGCAGTAGGTTAAAGGAAGGGCCAGGGTGTTTTAAAATCAAAGAAACTCAAATAATTGCACAAATATGGTGCTAATTTGAGCTGACCACTGCAGCATGGGAAAGATCTGGACAGGGGATCTGCATGGGGAAAGTGTCGGAAGGGGGGATGTCATGATGTCTATTAACAGTTAAGGAAAACTGAGTGAACTTCTGAGTGGTAGAATTCTGAGAGGGTGTATATGTATTCAGCATGCTGGTATTACTGTGCAAGTATGCACAGGAGACCTTTACATGCATTACACACTCTGTAGCAAGTGCAGTGTCATTCAGCAGATGACAACAAAGGTTCAGACATAGACACACCGCTTCTGAATCCCACTTATTCTCTCAGTGATGGGGGCTAATTCACACAGGATCTATAACCATAGTTTTGTCATTTTAAAAAATCAGGATGAAAATACCTACATGTTTTTGTTAGAGGTCTGAGACAGTACTTAGCTTTACAATGTAAATAAGATACAAGGTTTATTTTGTAGGGGAAAATGTATGCTTCTGTAGAAAATTATGCCTTGTCCCGATTCTAGAGATTACTGAATTCTGATTCTGTGGCCACTGTTCTGCAACATCGTAAATTATAGCTAACTGACAACACTGTAAAGTAATCCTTACTGATGACAAGTCAATTCGGTCTTGTCAGGGAGAAACTGAATTGGCTTCTCTCCCCACAGGAACTTTTTGTCTCCATTTGTGCATTCATTTCACCATTCCTTCCTGCCACCCACCTTTTTAAGAGAGAGAGAGAGAACATGGGGAAGAAGCAGATGGAGAGGGAGAGAGAATCTTAAACAGGCTCTTAGACATGGACCCCAACACAGGGCTTGCTCTCACAACCTCAACCGTGATCTCACTACCTGGGCCGACATCAACACTCAGACATTCAACCAACTGAGCCAACCAGGAGCCCCAACATTTCTTCATTTCTTACCAGTTTGTGCTTTCTGGCTTTTAAAAAAAAATTGGTTACTATGTTTGCCTCATTCCTTTATTGAGTTGAATAAAATCTTTAACACATGTTTAGTTTACATCTATATGAATACCATTTCACCTTTCTTCAAAGACTTTAATTCTTTCTATTAATATTTTGCTAAGAGAGCTTTATACTATGAGTGGCTATGGTTGATTCCTATTGACTCTGGATACTCTTCAGGGTATTATCCATATTTTTAACACATGGGCTAAATTTCTTACAAGCACAAAGTCAATGGCAGTGTTTGGGAAAAAAGTTTCACCTAGGGCTTCATTCCTCAGCACATCGTCGCTCCTACTCAGGGTTGCCTCCCCAACACCTTTCTCAGCGCACCCTTTACCTCCTTATTCCGTAAGGTGTAGATGAGTGGGTTCAGCATAGGAGTGACCAGGTTGTAGAAGAGGGTGAGAAACTTGCCCTGGTCTTGGGAAGCGCTGTTCCCGGGCTGCATGTACATGTAGATGATGCTTCCATAGAACAGAGAGACCACGGTCAGGTGGGAGCTGCAGGTGTTGAACGCCTTGAGGCGCCCAGCAGCCGACTTGATCTTCAGCACCGCTACTGCGATATAGCCGTAGGACGCGAGGATGAGAGCCAGAGGCAGGAGGACGATGAGGATGGCAAAGCTGAAGGCCAGCATCTCCACTGCGCGGGCGTCCACACAAGCCATCTTGATCAGTGCTGGCATTTCGCAGAGGAAGTGGTTGACCCGGCGCCGGCCACATCTGGACAGAGTCATTGTGAGTGGGGACATGACAATGGCATTGACCAGTCCACTCCCCCAGGCCACAGCCAGCAGTTGTAAGCACAGCTGGGGGTGCATAATGACCAGATAGTGCAGGGGCTTGCAGACCGCAGCGTAACGGTCATAGGCCATCACGGCCAGGAGGATGCACTCAACGCCCCCCACGCAGAGGAACGAGAAGAGCTGGATCGCACAGCCAGCGTAGCTGATGGTCTTGTCAGGGCCCCAGAGGTTCACCAGCATCTGCGGGATACAGCTTGTACTGAAGCAGAGATCTAGAAAGGAGAGATTGGCCAGAAAGAAGTACATTGGGGTATGTAGTCGAGGGTCCAAAATACACACAAGGATTATGGTTGAGTTTCCCAGCACAGCCACTGAATACAGAGTAAAATTGACCATGAAGAGTACCAGCTCTAGCCTTGGCCGGTCAGAGAAGCCCACTAAGATAAAACCATACTCTGAGCTGTCGTTGGATTTTTCCATGGTCTTCCTTTCACATCATCTGTATACCTGTAAGAAGAAAATGAATACTTAATTAATATTTTAGGAAAACCACTGAAGGTCAGGACTTTTACAGAACCGGTAACCCATGAAGTCCAATACTAGAATAGCTTCTGCCCAGCTATAGAAGCCAATCATCATTTGTACAAATGTGTAATACAAATTATTTCATGTTGGAAAATTCCAGCTTCTAATCATCATCCTTTTATTTAGGAGGGATTTTCTTCCTAATCCATAAGAAAAAGTATTTCTACTTTATTGAATAGACTTCATATTTAATCTCTCTTCATATGACAGCCATTTAAATATTTTGAACCAAACTAAATTTTCTTTGGACCAAGACATTCAATTTCCCTCAATGATTCTGCCTATAACAAGGCTATTGAGTCTATTATCACCTTGTAGCCATCTTCCACATATCCTCAATTTTTTTTAATGTTTTTTTTTTTTATTTATTTCTAGGAGAGAGACAGAGAGAGAGACAGCGTGAGCAGGGGAGGGTCAGAGAGAGGGAGTCACAGACTGAAACAGGTTCCAGGCTCTGAGCTGGGAGTCAGCACAGAGCCCGACACGGGGCTCGAACCCACGAACCGCGAGATCATGACTTAAGCGAAAGTCGGATGCTCAACCAACTAAGCCACCCAAGCGCCCCACATATCCTCAATGTTGGCAATGACCTTCTGGAAATGTGACAGCCAAGGCTGAGGTCAGTATCCAAGATATGGTTGGAAAAACACAAGGTACAGGGAAACTATGGCCTATCAGGACATGGAGATTAGACCTTTATTAAGACGAAATAGTGTGCAATTACTTCATAGTGTCAACGTCATCTTTTTACTTATGGTATGTTTGAATCTGCCAAATATTTACTTAGTCCTGTGAAAGGTTGTCAAATCAAATCTCTTTCATTCATTTCTCTGAAAGAAAAAGACTTCTGTAGTGTATATTGCCAGGATCAGAACAGATATTCTGTCCACTAATAAAATGGCAATGTGGGATATATTTGTCTTCTGGTTGTCTTTCAGAAACATTGAAACAACATAATTAGCTTCTGGAAGAGAGGTGTGTGGCCCTACAGATGAAGGGAGAGAGAAGGAAGGAGACTGTTGTAAATCGAGTAATTTAAAAGTAAATGGAAAAAGACTGACCCTAACAACGCTCAAAAGAATAAAGAGAGCTGGCTTCATAAAAAGACAGATGTATAATTGGATTCGAGGACACCAGCTTAGTAACGAGCCTAACAACGAAAGGGAGATAAGCGTGAGAACAGCAGAGTAGCAGGCACAGAAGGAAAAGTAGCTCAGACCCTCTGTCATGTTGACTCATTGAGAACTGAAGCAAAAATAATGACTACAATTATTAAGTGGACATTATAAAATATCTACTATGCTGTGTGATCTAGGGAATTAAGGGCTACTTCAATTAATGACAATATATTCAACTACCGAGCTGGGAAAAAATGAAGGCAGAATAGAACACAAGTTGTCACAAATATTTTAATTTTCAAATTAAAAAGCGTATCTTTGGTGAAAACGTCTCAGCTTCAAAGTACTTATAGTAAATTTATTTTCCACAGCAAAATACAATATACCAAAATAAAAGAAAAAGTTTTCTCAATTTTCTCTAATCATTTAGGCTTACCTGGCTTCAACTTTCCCACAGGAATTAGGAATAACACATAGTAATGTTTTTTCCTCAGGTTGGGATTTGTTAGCTGGGATTTTATGGGAGAATGTGCAGTAAATATAAGTAGAAAATAACAATAGGGTGATGTGAGACAAATGCAACAGAAATCGTATAGAAGTAGTTACAATGATCTCAGCTTGTCCAGAAAGGGGATGACATACAAGCTCTGAACTGACCTGCATGCATTAGATTCTAGTTTCTTCCTGAAGATAAGAGTTGTAAAAGCTGTGTGATTTTTCTAATAATTTGACTAACATGATAGACTAATGGTATATCACTACCTCAGAGGAAAAGTAAAATAGAATAACTGCCATAGGGTACTTAAATTATAGAGAAAAGAGGCAATTGTAATAGAAAATAGGGTTAGCATTCCTCCATTGTCTGCCAGCCATTTGGGCCAAATATCCAGCCTTCAGGAGCCTTTTAGTAGCCGTCAACCCAAACCCCAGGGTGAGGCAAGGACTTCCTGCTGACCCCAGAGGATAACCAATGCAGATGTGGAAGCTCTTATAGATGTAGATAGAAGAAATGGAGGACTAATTTCATAGCATCAAAGATGGCGCCTAGAGGTTGACAACATGTTTCCTTGTTGAGATCACAGGGACTGTGTACTCCTTTGGGTAATTAGCAGGGCTACAGAAGAAAATAGAAGTGTGTATTCCTAGGGGAAACCTTGGAATAACACCAGATGATTGGGAATCAACACTCTTAGATTCTTGGTTTCTATCTGGGGCCATAGCCTCAAATTTTGATGTGGAGGTGGGGGTAGGGGGTTGGAATGTGTGTAGTTAACTATTTCTGGTGTTTGGTGTGGCAAAAAGTCAAGTTGGCAATATGGTGCAAATATGAACATCTTTCAAACACCTCTTTCTCCTTGAAATGAGATTTAGTCTGTTTTCTGAGGAAACAACTTTAAAGTCAAATTTCTTTTCAGTTCAATATCATTTTCAAAAGGATACTACAAAAGAGTAAATAAAGTTTCTCTTAGTCACTTGATTTGTAACTTTTATTTTCACTTAGATTGGTGAAGTTCTTAGAATATAGCAAACATAAAATAAATATTTGGAATTTGATTGATTGATGTTCTTTAAGTTATAACAAACAAACCCTGGGAACCACACTAATTACCCTTAGGAGAAGGTCAAGTTGCCCCCAAGAAACTCCAAATGATAACATCATCTCTGCAACCAGTGAAATCAAGGACCAGAGGCATTCCTCTAAGAATGATGATAGCCTAAGAATAACCATTAATCATATTCACTGATGTGACACATTAAATCTTACGTGTCTTCCCCAAACTGATGTTATTCAAAACTCATGACCAACCTAAGAAATTCACTTCCAAAGCAAAACATATATGTAAGGCATCTGGTTTTAAAATGGTGTTTTATAGGGGCGCCTGGGTGGCTCAGTCGGTTAAGTGTCCGACTTCAGCTCAGGTCATGATCTCGAGGCTTGTGAATTCAAGCCCTGCGTTAGGCTCCAGAGCCTGGAGCTTGCTCGGATTCTGTGTCTCCTTCTCTCTCTAACCCTCCCCTGATCACACTCTGTCATACTCTCTCCCTTTCAAAAATAAATAAACATTAAAAAGAAATAAAATAAAATGGTATTTATAGTTATAAAACTAATAATGAAGGAAAAAAATGTATGAATCAGGCATTATAGCCAGTGAACCAATTGCAATGGCTAATCAGTCCTCAGATAAAACCTGCTAATAGTTTTTGGAAACAAAGAAATATATCTGCAATACATAAATAAGACAAACAAATATCTTTAGTATCAAAGGGCTTTTTCCAATAAATAAACTTTCAGATAAGGATTACATTTGCCAGAGTAAGACAAATGGGCAGTGGATAACGAGATAAAATGTAGTGAAACACTTATTCTTAAGATCCCAAAACACATAAAACTTTTTCAACCTAATTTATCATTTATAATTATTTATAATTAAATAAATACAATTTAAAACAATGTGATCTTTTCAGTTTGGTAATATTCAATCTGTGAGGATATGAGAGAGTGGCACTCATACACTGCATGTGAGAATGTAAATCAGGTTTACATTTTTGGAGGATGGTTTTACCAAATTCGAATTCGGCAAGTGCACAAGTCTTTGACCCACTAATTCCAATTCCTGGAATTTATTATTATGATTATTTCCATAGGTGTGTAAAAATATATATGTATCTTTATATCTATATATTTATATAGATATCACAGTTACATAGTGGCTAAAAAAGGAAACAGACTAAATGTCCATTGACTGAATAATAAATATTTACCCAGTTGTAAAATAAATAAAATAAAAAGTACAAAAACTGTGGTGTGTATTGATATTAGTATTTGTAAAGTATTGAGGGGCACCTGGGTGGCTCAGTCAGTTAAGTGTCCAACTTCGGCTCAGGTCATGATTTCACTGTTTGTAGGTTTGAGCCTCATGTTGGAGTCTATGCTGACAGCTCAGAGCCTGGAGCCTGCTTTGGATTCTGTGTGATCATAAAACTAATGAATCTAAATAAGAAGAAAATGTAGGGGTTTGAGTTTTTTCCTCGTTTTTCTTGTCTTTTAAGAGAAAAGAAAATATAACTGCCTATTATTTCATGGAACAAGTGACTTATTCATCCTGCTAGTTATGTTCTAAAGGAGATGAGAAGGAAAGTTGAAGTTATAGGCTGAAAAAACTGAAGAATGAGAAATGTTTGGATCCATTGAACAAAGCAGTTTTTCCTAGGCCATTTCTGCTTTCTGGTAAAATTGAAAGATGGCTACGTTTACTCATGTGATTCCCTCTGGAGAATCTTAAGGGATTCTGGATGATGAGGTCAACGAGCAATATTTAAAACTAAAGCAGGCGGGAGAGCAATTTTCAACTTCTACAGTTTTTATAAAAGTTGGAAGGAAGCAGAAGACCCTGGAGAGCTCATTACAAGGCTGCTCAGACGAGGGCTGTGATGACAAAGGTCTCATCTCTACGTCCACGGGGATCTTGGAGAGTACAACTGATTGCCATGTTTTCCCCATGCTGCATGCAGCTATTAAAAAGTTTCCAATGAGTTTCATTATAATTCACAACACGGAGCAGTCTCTAGGGTTATCTGCCTTAGAGGAGAAACATTCTATTAAGAACTGATTGCGGTGGAGAGTGAACTCGAGTCAGCCCCTGTCACCGTCGAGTTCCCTTAGCTCTGCTGTTGTGACAGAGCTACTCAGTGGCCCTGGAGATTTGCTCAACAATGTTATTCACATCTGAACTTTCAAACAAAACACCAAATCTCCATTTCCCAACATAACTGGAATAAGCATGCCGTCACTTGCGGATGGCATTTTGTGGAGCGGGGATTTAGTGGGGGTATCTAGGAGAGCCATTACTCTATCAGCAACGTTTTTGTTACTGCTCTATACTTACTCCTCAGCAATAATTCCCATAAAAACTTCCAATGCACTTCCAAGCTTCCAGAATTACTCTGGGAATGCAGTAAGCTTTTATTTATCAAACATACTTGCAGGCATTGTGTAAGATACGTAGTATATAAATAGATTTTATGCATCTGCCCTTTAGGATCTCTCAATACAGAGTAAGGTAAGAAAGAGGAAGTTATAACATTATGTCAAAATTACTATGCTATACAAAACATAACAAAAGGAAAACATTGGTTTATTGATTCTATTGAGAATGAAATAACAATTCATTATTTTCCCACTCTATTTCTCTTCTTTTTTGGTATTGTATCCACTGCTGCATTCCCCATCCTTAGCAAAGTGTTAGCACATACTAGTAACTCAATAAATAATATGTAAGTATATCAGTTAATCTATAAAATGATAGTAAATATGACATGTTGAAGACTTTCTGTCTTTTACAAGGAACTTTTTGCCATAACAAAAAAGCATAAGTAATTTTCGATAGACTAGATTCAGAATGATGACATCTCTATCTTACATCTTCATCATGCACCTCCATTTACGGTAAGTAAATATTTCTCAGTTTATTGACAACCACATACATGTAGTTAAATAATAAAAATAATAAGTGGAAACAGGTGATGTGTAGCAAAATTGAAGAATCACATATAACAATGTCCCAGAAATTCCATACCTATAGAAAAACTTGTACATGTGCCCAAGAGATATATACAACAATGTTGATAACAGTTTTATTTGTAATAGCAGATAATTGGAAGGCACCTAAATAGATAGCAATTGGAGATAAATACACTGTGACCTATTCATACAAAGGAATATACTGCAGTACAGACAATGAATCAAAATGGATGAATCTCACATTACATTAAATAAAAGTGAAGAAAGTTTTGAATCAGTTGAAGTGATCACACAGGGAATTTATAAGCCATGTTAACAATTTAAACTTTGCAATAAGGGCCATGGAGGATTTGGGGCAGGAGTGGGTCAGGGCCACAGGTTTTAACTAAAGTATGTCATTAGTATATAAAGAAAATGTGGTATATGTATATACATATATACAATGGAATGTATAAAAGAATGAAATCTTGGGGCGCCTGGGTGGCTTAGTCGGTTAAGCGTCCGACTTTCGCTTAGGTCATGATCTCACGGTTCGTGGGTTCGAGCCCCGCGTCGGGCTCTGTGCTGACTGCCAGCTCAGAGCCTGGAGCCTGTTTCAGTCTGTGACTCCCTCTCTCTCTGACCCTCCCCTGCTCATGCTGTCTCTCTCTCTCTGTCTCCTAGAAATAAAAAAAAAAAAAAAAAGAATGAAATCTTGCCATTTGCATCAGTGTGGATGGATCTAGAGAGTATTATGCTAAGCGAAATTAGTCAGAGAAAGACAAATATCATATGATTTCACTCATATGTGGAATTAAAAAAAAATGAGCACAGGGAAAAAAAGAGAGAGGGCAAACAAAGAAATAGACTCTTAACTCTAGAGGGCAAAGTGGTGGTCACCAGAGGGGAAATGAAAGGTATGAGTTAAATAGGTGATGGGGATTAAGGAGAACACTTATGATGAGCACAGGGTGATAAATGGAATCGTTGAATCACTATATTGTACACCTGAAACTAGCATTACACTGTATGTTAACTAACTAGAACTTAAATAAAAACTTTAAAAAAACACTTAAAAATAAATAAGTAGGGGCACCTGGGTGGTTCAGTTGGTTGAGAGTCAGACTCTTGGTTCAGCTCAGGTCATGATCTCATGGTTTGTGGGATCAAACCCCACGTCAGGCTCTGCATTGACAGCATGGAGCCTGCTTGGGATTCTGTCTCTCCCTCTCTCTGTGTGCCCTCCCCAGTATATGCCAATGCTCTCTCTCTCAAAAATAAATAAATAAACTTTAAAATAAATAAATAGATTGATAAATAAAATCTTTTTAAAAATATGCCATTAATAAACATGTTTAGTATGAGCATTCCCACTGGTGTGGGAATAAATTTGAGGGGAACAAGGTTAGAAGCCAAGAGAAACATTAAGAAACTGTTGTATTAACATAGGTGAGTGACAGAAGTAGGAAGGAAAAACAAATTCCAGAAATACAGAGATACTGAAGATATTAAACTGACAATTCCGTCTTGACCAACTGAATGCCCTCTCATCTCAGTTTCAAATATCTCTGTCACAAACAACACCTCTTATTTTTCCAGCTGATTTCATCTTGAAATCTGATTCTAACTATCCTTCAACCCCTCCAATCCATTGGGTCTACTTCTTTTTTTTTTTTTTTCCTTCTTCCTTCTTATTCTCTTTCTTCCTTAGCCAAAACTTGCAATATCACAACTTTGGTGAAGTTCAACTCTCTATCAACCACATACTCTCCTAATACAGCTCAGTACAACCGGAGAAAACAATTTTGTTTCCGCTCCGGAGCCACAGACCTCACGTAAACTCCTAGTGCTGCCCCTACTTCCTCAGCCCTGCACTTCCCCACGCGCGCATCTTCCAGGTCCTCAAGCCGCCTTCACCTCCTCGCTCACTGCCAGTGTCAGTGGATGAGCCATGCACTGAGTTTGCTTGAGAAAAGGAGGCAAACAAAGAACTTTGCAGACTCTTCTCTCGTGATGGTCTCTACCACCTGCCCATGTCACGCCCCTGAAATATCCTCTGCCCTCCTGATTGTTTTCACAACTGAACATCATCCCTATAGCAAAGCCAGCCCCTCCGTTACTTCATTGTTCCATTCTGCCTCGTTTTTAGAAATTTGTCTATCCTTCCATATCATCAAGGACTCACTTTTTACTACCTCATTCCCAGGAGGAAACAAACATAGCATGAATTCTAACATCTTAAAAACAAAAAACAAAAAATCTTTGCCAACCTCACTTTCCCCACCAGGCTCATTTTTATATAATTTGAAATGATTCCTCTTCACAGAAAAATTTATCAGAAAGAAACTCTGTTTCTCCCATTTTTTTGTTAAATCCACTCTACTCTAGCCTTTGACCCCACCCTATACAGAAACACCTTTTGTCATGTCCCAAATTGCCTCCAATTTCCCAAATATGACAGTGAGTTTTAAACCTTATCCTATTTGAGCTAGCGTCCTCTCTCACCTTCTCACACTGTCTTCAGCTGACCATTTCTCTAGATCACGAAGATCTAAGACACACGAATGCATATTACACTGAATTCCTAGACTTTGGCTGGATGCCAGCTGGGAAGAATCATAGGTTTTGAAATAGTTTGAGTCATAAGAAAATGATTGGTTCTATTCAAGAGGATGAACTGAGCACACTGACTCTCTACTCCGGGCTTGGTGTTGCTTAAGAGGTAGAGAGTTTCAGTTTGGGAGGATAAAAATATCTTGGAGAGAAATGGGGGTGGCGGTTGCACAAAGATGGGACTGCATTTCATGCCACCGATGTGTACACCCGAATTTTGTGTGACGCATACATTGCCACGATGTAGGAAGACAACATTCAAAATACATTTCCCGGTTCAGTTCTGGTTCAAGATGGTTTTTTGTTGTTATTGTTGTTTTTGGGTTTTGTTTGTTTGTTTGTTTGTTTGTTTTAGAATGTGTTTGCATTGGGGACATCTGGGTGGCTCAGTTGCTTAAGGTTCCGATTTTGGCTCAGGTTTAAACGGTTCGTGGGTTCGAGCCCCACGTCGGGCTCTGTGCTGACAGCTCAGAGCCTGGAGCCTGCTTCAGATTCTGTGTCTTCTCTCCCTGACTCTCCCTTGTTCATGGTGTCTCCCTCTCTCTCTCAAAAATAAATAAAACATTAAAAAAATTTTTTGAAAAAATAAATGAATAAAAAGAATGTGTTTGCATTTAAATGACCATCAAATTAATAGGGACTACTATTTACTTAGGATGTTCCATACGAACCTCATGATAAATGACAAACCCAAACCCTATGATAGATACATACAGAAAAATAAAGAGAAAGAAAGCCAAATAAAACACTATAATACTTGTTGATCATAAGAAAGAGAGCCAGAGATGAAACAAGGGACAAAGAACTACAAAAAAAACCAGAAAACAAAATTTTTAAATGGCACTAAGTACATACCTATCGATAGTTACTTTAAGGGTAAATGGACTAAATACTCCAATCAAAAGATACAGAGTGGTGGAATGGACATAAAAAAAAAAAGACTCATTTATATGCTGCCTCCAAGAGACTCACCTCACATCTAAAGATGCAGACAGACTGAAAGTGAAGGGATGGAAAACATTCACCACGCAAATGGAAGCAGTACTTAACATCAGGCAAAATAGACTTTAAAACAAATACTGTAACAGACAAAGAAGGACCTTACATAATGATAAAGGGATCAGTCCAAAAAGAGGATATAACATGGGACACCTGGGTGGCTCAGTTGGTTAAATGTCCGACTTTGGCTCAGGTCATGATCTTACAGTTCGTGAGTCAGAGCGCTGCATCAGGCTCTGAGCTGTGCTTGACAGCTTGGAGCCTGAAGCCTGCTTGGGATTCTGTGTGTCCCTCTCTCTCTGCCCCTCCCTTGCTCGGGCTCTGTCTCTCAAAAATAAATAAACATTAAAAAAAAAAAAGAGGATATAACAATTGTAAATATCTACACACCCAACACTGGAGCACCTAAATACGTAAAGCAAATATTAACAGACACAAAGAGATAAAGTGATGGTGATACGATAATAATAGGGGTTGTTAACACTGCATGTACATCAATGGAATAAACTTAACCAAGGAGATCAAAGACCCATACTCTGAAAACTATAAAACACTGATGAAGGAAATTGAAGACGACACAAACAAATGGAAAGATAGTCCATGCCTATGAATTGGAAGAATTAATATTGTCAAAACGTCCGTATCACCGAAAGCAATCTACAGAGTCAATGCAATCTCTATCAAAATACCAATAGTATTTTTCACAAAACTAGACACAATACTAAAATTTGTCTGGAACCACAGAAGACCCAGATAAGTAAAGCAATCCTGAGAAAGAAGAGCAAAGCTCAAGGTACCACAATTCCAGATTTCAAGATACACTACAAAGTTGAAGTAATCAAAACAGTATGGCAGTGGCACAGAAATAGATACATAAATCAATAGAACAAGAACCTACATTTATATGGTTAATTAATCTGTAACAACGGAGTCAAGAATATCCAATGGGGAAAAAGACAGTCTTTTCAATAAATGGTAGTGGGAAAACTGGACAGCTACATGTAAAAGAATGAAACTGAACTACTTTCTAATACCATATGCAAAAATAAACTCAAAATGAATCAACGATCTGACATGAGACCTGAAACCATAAAAATCCAAGAAGAGACAATTGCAGTAATTTCTCTGACATCAGCCACAGCAATATTTTCCTAGATATGTCTCCTAAGGCATGGAAACAACAACAAAAATAAATTATTGGGACTGCATAACAATAAAAACCTTTTGTTCAGCAAAGGAAACCATCTACAAAACAAAAAGACAGCCTACTTAATGGGAGAAATATTTGCAAAGGATATATCTGAAAGGGTTAATATCCAAAACACAAAAAGAACTCATACAACTCAAAACCAAAAAAGAAAGAAAGAAAG